ATGTAGTTACCACTCACATTCACCTTTCTTCTTACAATTGAACACTCCTTAAGCTTACCACCTTTTTAATGGAGATATGGAGCTTAAATTAAATCTCTAGGGATGTTGAATAACACTCTTACCTCTACAATCTCATATGGAAATCTTGCTCTACCAAAAGGGCTCCTTAGAGCTAATGAAAGGTGGAAGAAGAAAGAGAGAAGAAGCAGAAGGTGAAAGGTAATAAAAGCCCTCAATTTTTTAGCTAATAAACTCACACCAAAACCAACAAAATCCCAAGGAACATCAATGGTCTAATCTCACTTTTGGTTCATCATCATTTTCCTTCTATTCTAAAATCCATCTTCTATGGTCAACCGAGCCCAATTTGTATCTAATTAGGCCCGTATTCAGCCCAAAAACTCTAGTTACCAACTTCTCTTGGTCCATACATCTCCCCGGTCAACCCTCATGTGTTACTCAAAATTTTAGGTGTTATAACTCTCTCCGCCAAAAAAACAATTCCTCGAAAATTACTATAATCGAATAAGAACACACTTTGAAGTCGATACTCCAAGAATTCTTCATAAGCACATAGATGTCAAATTGAGTTAGATCCTCAAGGCGAATTCCATACAATCCAACGAAATCGATCCATAATCATCAATAAGACATCACTTATGCCGAACCACTGGTAATACCATCATGAAGTCTAAAGCCATTATTCTCAGCTATGTTGCACAACAATGAACACTCGAAGTCATTCCATGCCAATAGAACTTTGCCACTTAGCGGTCCGTAACCATAAAACCTTATCTCTACTAACTCGGCTCAATCAAGTTTCCATCTAGCACATAAACTCCAAGTCTCCTTTACCTTCTAGACCCAGGTGGACTCGACACGTATTTCAACTAAGATTCCATAGTTACTCACAATACTCAAACTTGCAAACATCGCTGGAGATCTGCTGTGAACTTCTGAATCTCAACATTGTCTATCACACGGACCTTGGAGAATGTAGATCCTCCCACTAAATATATTATGTGCAAGTTGTCGCACCAAACTCCACTCATGGGTAGGGCAGTTGTGCTCTTGCGATTTAAACTACTTAAATACATTGGAAATACATTCAAGGTCGTCTGACTAATCATCGCCATTTCACATTTATGTCATCACTAAACACAACCCCAAAAGAAACGACAACTTAAAAATGCTAAATATTAGTTTCCACGTAGGGGTGTAAATGAACATAGCGTTCGATGAATTGCTTGTGAACAGTTCATATAATAAATTGCTTGTGAACAGTTCATATAATATTCGTTTATGTTCGTTTATTAAGCTAAATAAATGAGTATGAAAAAAAATTATGTTCGTTTAATAAACAAACCAACACGAATAGAGATGTGTTCAGTTGGTTTATGTTATCACTGAAAACAACCCCAAAAGAAAAGACAGCTTAAAAATGCTAAATATTAGTTTCCACGTATGGGTGTAAATGAACATAGTGTTCGATGAATTGCTTGTGAACAGTTTATATAATATTTATTTATTAAGCTAAATAAACGAGTATGAAAAAAAATTATGTTCGTTTAATAAACAAACGAACACGAATAGAGATGTGTTCAGTTGGTTTATGTTCATGAACAATCTTGTTTATAAGCTCATATATTAACTCGTTCATTTATATTCACGAATAAACTCATTTATAAGCTCGTTTAATTTTTTATATTTTAAATATTAGTGAAGATACATATTAAATTGTATACATGGTGAAATTTAGAGTTTAAACTATGAACCCTAAGAAGTTTAAACATCAGTTGTGTAATTATAACATTTTCCCTTAATTATAAGACGAAAACCATTTTTCTTATCATCTATTTTCCCTTTCCAGTTTCCAGCCCGCCGTTCGTCTTTAACTTTAAGCTTCCTTTCCCTCTTTTTTTTCACGAGATTTATCAAACCCTAAATCATCTTCTGTGACGCCGTGTTTTACATTGTCGGTACCTTTGCGCTCCTCACCTCATCTTGATCATAACGGTAGCAAGAAGTCGTCGTTCGCCGTCTGCTTATGGAGAGCTCAGAATCTTTATGAAACAAGAACATGTTTATTTATTTACTTGCTAATTGTCAGTTTTTTTATAATTTGTATTTTCTAAGTTAGATCAAAATCTTTATGAAATAATACACTCTAATTCTTATGAAACAAGAACAGATTTATTTATGCTCTAAGTTAGATCAAAATCTTTACGAAACTTCTCAAAATCCCTTGTTGTCCGGTTTTCTTGTTTTTAATAGTGGAGGAAGGGTTATTTGGGTAGGAGTTCTTTAGTAAGAAGGGTTACATGGGTGGGAGTTATTTAGTGTTGATTATTGTACCGACTCATGTTATTAATATTAATTGAATGAATGTTTCGTTTTTTTCTTTTTAACAATGGAACATTCAAGCTCTTGATGGAAGACATTTGTTCTTCCCTCTTTATATTTAAGAATGCATTGACTTGTAGTAGTTGGGGAGATTAACATTTGGCACCCAGAGCCTAGAAATGTCCAACCATTGAATTGGAACAAATCTTTAGTGGCTCAGAAAACTTATTTGCTTAAGAACTTTCATGTTTCCTTTTTACATAGCTGATACAATTTTGGACTTTTAATATAAAACATCTTTGTTGGAAGAACATCTGCAATGTTGGCTTATTTGCTTATTCATTTTTGAAAAGGGGTTGACTCTTTAGTCGAATAAAACCTGTTGTGCTTTGGACTTGTTTAATCTTGTGGCACTGTTATATGCTTCTCGTATTCATCTTTAATGATTTCTAGTTTTATATATTTTAAAATATTTTTATAAATTTAAAAATATATAAGATTTATTTTTTAGTTTAAACTATCTCGTGTTACTGATTTTTTTTGTCTTGTCATTCTTGATGTTTGGTTCTCTCTCTTAGGTTCTGCAAGTTATTTAACATTTTATGAGGAATATTTTGGTTGTGTTTCACTTTGCTTTGTTATTTTCACTGTGTTGTTCGACATGTGATGGTTGTTCGTTGTCACTTGTTGCTCGTGTGCTTGCTCGTAATTGAGGTGATATATCTTAGGTTTTCTACTGTTGTATAATTTCGTTGTTTTGTTGATTTTGTTGGGATTAACCCATCAGTTACAGCAGTCTATTAGTTCCGATTTAGTTGTTCCAGTATAATTTCAAGTATGTTTTAAGATGTGATAGGTTGATGGATGTTTATGATGGAAATGTTTACGGATATTTCTAAATATTGTTACTTGTTGGTGTGTTTTAAGAATGTATTTTGTTATTGTGGATATTATATAAGTTTTATCAAGTGATTCTGTTTAATTTGTTCTTTTCTGTTTGTTTGGTAACATTTTTAAACATATATAAATAAACATGTTCGCGAATGCTAAACGAACACTAAAAGAACGCTAAACGAAAATATTCGTAAACATCAAAATGAACATGTTCACGAACATTAAACGAACACGTTTACGAACCTTAAATGAACGAACACGAATGCCTTAAAAAATAGATAAACAAACACAAACATGATAATAAAAAAATTAAATGAACACCTTCAAAAATAAACAAATTAACACAAACATGTTCTTATTTGTTTAAGCTCGATTCATTTACACTCCTATTTCCAAGCAATCACTTCTTGATTCTCTATGATCCACATGAACGTCGCCTGCATAATCACATGACCCAACAGCCACAACCGATAACCAAAACTTGATCTATTAAGTTTGGCATACCCCAAACTCTCTCTCTTCTTAGAAAGCCTGCAGTTAAGGACAAAGATCAATCACTACACACTCATTCATCATTGATTCCATAATCACGATCAAGATATCGGTGACCTCTAAACGACATCACCAAAACCCATAATAGACATCTCAAGTTTCCCAACACCATATTGGAGCCACTTACCTCCAAAGTTAAAATTGGGAGTACCGAAAATCCACCGAGTTGATCACACAAATCATCCAGTTTAGATTTGAATCGTTTTCGGATTATTATTGTGTAGGATCACTAGAAGTTCTGACTCAAATTGATTTCAATTAATTTTATAGGTAGAATCAGTTTTTTACATCCTATCAGTTGCTTTCCCATTGTAGGATCAAGAAAAGGTGGATTTTCATGTCCATGTCTTCACAAAATGCTGCCAAAGCATAATATGACTTTTCCTGCATGCAAATCTTAAATATAAGTTGCAAACATTAAGATGGAAGCATGCAAGTAAAATCAACTAAAAACTAATTTAAACCTATCTTTTTATGTACTTTCATTATGTGTGTAAATGAGACAAGATAAATTGTAAGTTGTTCGAGTTTGATTCGGTCAAAGTTAGATTAATACTTAAATTGAATAGACTTGATTCGAACTCGAACTCAACTCGAGTTCTTAACAAGCCGAAACGAACTACTTGATATCTGACTCAAAAAGATGATTTATACTCGAAAAATAATATATTAAATTTTTAATTTTTTAAAATAAATTATTAATGATATTAATGTGTATATGTTATTTTTTTAAAAATACAATATAAAGTTTTTATGTACTTTAAGATTCAAGTTCGAGCTTGAGTTCGAGATTGAACCAAGAACGAGTTCGAGCTTTAGTAGACCTAAGTCTGAGAATATTTTGAGTATGAATTTTTTCGAGCTCGAGTCGAGCTTCAACTTTTGATTTCGAGTTCGAATCAAGCTTGACGATTTTTAGCTTGCGAGCTTTTGACTCGAGTCAAATCAAGTTCAGCTTTAAACATTTTGAGTCGGATCAAGCTCAATAATACTCAAACTCGTTCGCTCTCCCTCGGTCCATCCTGATTAAGAGTGAATTTTGACGTTATGCCTTCGTATATTCTTATGTGGGGGTACGTAGACATTTTCTTTACAAGTTTAGTTCAGTATTTCTACAAAAGAAGTACTACAAGCAAGTCACGGGTGAAACATGGCCAAAAACAATGGCAGGAAAAAGATAAGAAAAAGGAACCCTACATCATCATGTGCTCCAACAAGAAATTTACTTTTCCACATTGTCTAGTTGCTAACCAACGGAGCTGTATTTTACCATAAAATTCATCAAACCATCTTTTTGACTTACAGCAGCACCCCTCTCTTTTCTTCCATCACTTCCCTCATTAGCACATAAAAATTAGCTTTGTAACCCTTTTATCATCTTCAACCTCATCACATTCTATTCAAGTTTTCGTAATCGGAGAACCAATACCGACAAATCTCGTTTTCATGGATTCCCTTTGGTCACCATGGAGAAAGTTGTCTGTGTTTCTAATGGCCTATTTGTCCTCGGTAGCGTTGTTGTCATCATCGTCGTGGTCACCAGAACATGTACGATACTCGACTATATCGGCTGCACCGGCATTCTTGCCGAGTGCACCACTAGCCTCTTCTCCAAGTTTACCCCCAGATATTGAGCCTTTGTTCCCTACTCCTAATGGCATGGCACCTTCACCAACTGATTCATCGGTACCCACGATTCCTTCAAGCCCCAGTCCCCCGAATCCAGATGACATCTTGGCTCCAGCTCCTGGTTTCTCACTTTCTCCAGCAGATCCTTTGCCGGTATCCACTTCGGTTTATCCAACATCACCTTGTGCTCTAGAATCAACATTGTTTCTTGGCTTGCTGGTTCTTTGTTTATTGCAGCAGCTGTCTTGTGTGTGAATTTCTGTTTACTGCAACCCCCAATTAGCCCTCCTAATAGTTTCACTCTGAATTTTTGTAACATATATTGCTTACTTTGATGTTATTGTCCTGTGAAAATGTATGGCATTGTTGTATTAGCACAAAGAACTCTGTTTAGATAGAAAAAAAACTTAATTATATATAGTATTAGCACAAAGACTATATTAAGTTCAACATCTTTTCACATTAAGGAAAAACAAAAACTGTTACAACAACAATGAAACAAAATTGAACAAAAGAATATCACAATCTGAGGTAACACATGTATAACAAATACATCTAACCTGAACTTGTATATGTATATGTATATTCTATTTTTCTTAATGTAACCTAACTCGAAATCTACAGAGCAACGACGCTAGGACCGGACTTTGGAGATCCGTTGAATAACATCCCGAAAAGTCCTCCCTTTACTTTGTTGAAATCAAGGGGACTCCATTTCCTTAGGGGTGGTGCTTTAGCAATACTCTTCTTAAGCTCCATATTCTCATCCTTGAGCACTTGGACAGCCAAACTGAGTTGTCGAATCACCTCTTTCTTCGCTTCGTCTTTCTCGATTAATTGAGCCTTCTGAGCCTTGTTCTCTTCTTTTAGTTTGGCTATTTCCTCCCTTAACTTCATCACTCCATCATCGAACACCTTCGTTGGAACTTCTTGCCTTACTTGGGGGGCAAGGAGGTTTCCATCTTCATTATCGATATGTCCTCCTTTAGTCACTATACTGGTTTCATATTTGTCTTCCTGCCCAGAATCCTCGACTTGATCAACAACTTCATAATGTTCGGGGTCATCAACTTCTGATTCAGCATAATCATCGGAATAAAAACTCTCAGAGTTGCTATCATAGGTTTTATCCATAAAATTCTTGGCCTTATCGGGATGGTACTTCATGGAAGCAAATGGGGATCCCAATGTTGTTACGAGTCGAGTACCAGGGTCCAACTTGATTTGATCATACCGTTCGGCGAGCAAACGGTGGGATCTGTAGAAATCTTCGACCATGCTAATCAACTCGGGACGTTTCTTGTAATACATTTCTGCACGTTTGGCAAAGGAATCTGCATCTTCCTCGATCAATTTTAGCATAGCCTTGGTCTTGTTGTCCAGCCCTATCATTAAGATAAAAAACCAAATGAAGAGAGCAAACAAAAGCATGGTACAAGTAATGTCGAATAACACGATCTTAGAGAAAATAAAGAAAGAAACATGTGTTTCACGCTACAAGACAATGACATCTCAGGTTCCCCTAAAAAAGGCAAAAAAGAACATCAATGGCCTCCAACGGTCAAGAAACAAGAAAGCTTCAAGAAAAACGAAAGATAATCTGAGATTGTAATAAAAAGAGGGGGAAAAGAGAAATGGGTTTTACCAGAAAGAGTGGACTGAAGCCATTGGGATCGCTTTGAACCGTCGTGATGACTATCGAACCACCACCACCGTGAATTTTCCATCTTGCTCATCATTTGAACCATCTCCTCTCTCTCGTCTCCTCTTTACCTCAAAAAAAACAAAGGCCAAATAGCCAGATTTTACAGTTAAGATCAAAGAACGGGGAGGAAATGGAAAATTATGGTAAGAAAAACAGAGCTATTCGCCTGTTCATATGTATTTATACACATAGAAGGGGACAAAACAGGAAATAATTCAGGCACGGAAAGTGTTCAAACCTACCAAAAATGAAAACCTGACTAAATACTAAAAATCTCAGTTACTGGAAAAAAAGCAAAAACATTTATATGGAAAGAAATCTGGTAATGCAATCTAATGACCCTTTCCAGAATTACGTCCCCTCATCAAGAACTGAAAATACCATGACTGGGGAGAGTTTGAAGTTGGCAATGAACACAGAAAACAAAGTAAAAAAAGGGAACCCTTTTAAGCTTCGAGTGTATAAAGCTTATTGGCAAGGTGAGATGAGACAACAATTGTTGCAGAGTGAAGGAAGATTTACCCAGAAACAGAGAAGGGATGGGGAAATGAGAGGGAGCGTTCCTCTTCTGTCTTCTTGGTTTCTTCTGGATTTGCTGCTTTGCTACTACTAATAAATACTGTGGACCGGACTCCTATGATAGCGAAATATTTGGTAACCAAATATACAATTTTTCTAATATTGGGTAAATTAAAAATGTAGTACACCAATTATCATTTTTATTTCATTTTAGTCACTCAACTATTTTTTTCAGAATCATACTTAACGTTACATTTTTGTTTCATTTTGGTTAACCACTGTTAAAAAATTAATGAAAATGATGAAATTGCAGTTCTTTTTAAATTTTAATGATCATGTGATATTACTTTATGATGACACATTGGATCACCGTTAAATTTTAAGAGTGAGTGACCAAAATGAACCTAAAACTAAACATTAGGTATGAGTTTCGGAAACAATAATATTTGAGGTACTAAATGTGTAGTTTACCCTTGAAGTTTTAGGTTTAAACAGCTAATATGTGCATTATCAATAATTTAAAAATTTTATGAATAAATATTACTTTGTAATTACCCAAACTAATCAAAGAAAATTAATTAAAATTTTGTTACTTTAATATAATTGATATTGATTATTCAAGAAAAGATGAATTGATTAAGGAATTATTGTTATTTCTTGAGATTATGAGTTCGACTATCACGTATGCATTGATATAAACGTTCAATATCACATGATTGAGAATCTTTAAATAAATATTATTGTGTATTCAATTCAGACTAATTAAAAAAATATGAATTGGTTAAGCCTTCTTTTAATATGTAAATCTCTTTAATTAACAATATAATTTGAATATCTAGAACATATATATTTTCGATTATTGAATTTATAATTTTGGATGGTAACAGTTGGAGGTCATGGTCATCGCAATGGGGCCTTATGAATTAATAATGATTTTGGAGTAACGGTCGAAAATATCAAATACAACAGTCTACAGGAAAGAAAAATAAAAGAAACTTCCAATATTCTGATTCCTAAGGCAAAAGTGGTGAATGAAATTATATATAACTGAATAAATATAATAATAATTACCATGGGTATGGTATTTAGGGATGGACCTAGAGGAGTAGGTAAGGACAGTCATTCTCTAAAATTTTTAAATTTTTATATATTTTCTTTATATTTTCTATTAAAAATATATTTTTACTCCTTAAAATTTTGTAAGTTTACACTTATTTAAAATTTTATAAATTCACCACTCCTAACATAAAATCATACACTGTTCATGTTGGCATGCCACGAATTAAGGAAAAATAATAAATGCCACACATCATGTGTATTAGGACAACCTGGTTTAATAAAACTAAAAAGTTAAAAGATAAATGTGATGTCTCAATAAAATATTATTTAAGAATTTACTGAGTTGATGGAATTTTTTTTCTTAATACTAAACTTGATGCAGTTATGTTTACGTGAATTACATGCGTTACCTTAAATTAAGAAAATTTTAAATATATATTATCTTATAATCACCTCAGGCTATTTGGATATTATGTGATTTAGACATGATTTTGAAACTTTAACAATTTAGAAATTTTAAAGATTAATTGGAATGTTTTTTCTTAATACTAAAATTTAAGCAGTTACGTTTACGTGAATTATATGTGTTTTAGACATTTATTTTAAAAATCAATTTTTATTTAGATCATTTATTCGATAAATAATACACATAAAACATTAAATTATCTATTTGGTATTATATCGATTCTCGTATTTTTATTTTGATCATTCAATTACCTTTTAGTAAAATTATACTTATCGTTGCGTATTTAGGTCATTGACCGTTCAATTTGGTTGTTGACTTAAAGAAAATAGTAACGTAAATTGATATAATAACAATTTTAGTTCTAAAACCTATTCATTCTATCAATTTGGTCCTAATTTAAAATAATTCAATAAATCCTCAATATTAAAAAATCTTATCAATTTGGTCCTCATTTTAATTTACAATAATTTAATAATTCAATAAATTTAACCACTCACTAAGATAAGGAAACATTTCATTCTTTTATCAAAGAAAATAAATAAAAATTCGAAAGAGGACAATCTATATCAAAATAATCAAATATCAAAAAAAAATAATAAACGAGTTATATACCTCAAAATACAAGTGAGACCTTGTGAGTACAATACCCACTAACAGATAAGGTATTGTACTCTGAACACAGGATGTTGGAAGTCCCTTGTTGATGATGCTCCTCATATACGAACAAAAGTCTACTAATATGAAAATAAAAATAATTTGAACGTTGAACTTTGCAAGCTTAGTGGCCAAACTTTCATAAACAAATCACTTGCACATCAAATTTGTCAAACTTGTTAAATTGGTCAAACTTGTCAAATTGGTCAAACTTGATAAACTTGTTAGAATGCACACGTGCTAAAATAATTGGGTATCCAGATAGTCCCGTGCCACTCATGACCGCTAATCAAATAAATCTCAAGTGTCCGAATTGTTTTCTAAGCACCACACATGACCGCTAATTAGGTTATAGCCCGAATACTGCAGGCAAACTAAGCATCAAACAACTAAGCACGAGTATAACACAATGGTATTCAAAGTCTCATGCTTATTCCAAACTTGCTAGGTATATTATGCTTGAGTATATTTTGGTCATTTACGCTTTATGAAATCTTAAATCATGACTAAAATATTAATCTTTCAAATATGGCAGCTTGCACTACCTTTAAACTAAAATGTGTAATTAATTAATAATATACAATTTCAAATCATGTTCCATTTGTTTTATAAGAAACTAGATTCACTAGTCTTTCCAACCATATAAATTAAAGCTTCTAATTTAAGTTGTACTATTTATGGTGAATTTTTGAATTCATTATCCTTGTTGTTTTCCAAAGTAGAATAACACCTTATCTTCTGACCTTTCCTCACTTAAAAATTTATAACTCTAAATATATTGCTCGAAATCAAGAACTATTTATTTTAAACAAAACTAGACTTACACACGGTTAATATAATGCCTGCTTCCTAATATTTACTATGGTATCTTTTGTGAATTTTCAAATTCACTGCTAAAACTGTTTTCCAAGGATTTTGCTGTCCAGGTTTTTGACCTTTCATCACTTAAAAATTCGTATCTTTTCATACACATATCGAAATCAATATTCGTTTTGTTTTAAACAAAACTAGATTGAATCCCGGTTAAAACAATATAAAGAGAACTTCCTAATTATTTTTATAGAGTTTAATTCAAAATTTTAAAGTTACTACACGTTCAAACAATTTTTTCTGAGCAGATTTCACAACTAGATGTTTGGCTTAATTTAAAGCGTTCCAACATGCTTTTCACCCAAAGACATACATGTATGCATTATCATCACAAGCATCATATTTATAAATTCTCAAAAAGCATAGAAGAGTTAGAGAGTACCACCTAGATGAAAGAACACAATGAAACTTTTTGACCTAGCTCTCCACTACCTTCTCCTTTCCTTTAACCTTTGAAGCCTCACCACCTTCCTTTACTAACACAACATGCATATAGGGATGATAAAAGGGTACAATTTCGTGGATTCTGCACCGTATCTGCTCTAATTAGGGCGGGGATGGGTATAACTTTAGTGGGTAGTGGGCGGGTGTGGATTTAGAAAGTGGTACCCGTCGCGCGTAGAGGGCGGGTGATGGGTTTGAGACCTTACCCACCCCGCGCCTGCCCCGCATCCACCCGCCCACTAAATATCCATTAAATTTTGGACCATTATGAATTTAGGTATAATTTTAGAGACTAATTTATAAATCTTAATATTGTATAAGATACAACTTATAATTTAACCAAATATTGGGGATAAGTTTATGAATTAATTTTTTTCTCTTTTAAACCTCTCGTGCTTTGCTTGCTGGTTACTGCGCTGATATTCTGGTAGTTCTTCTTCTCTAATTTTCAAACTCTGTTCTCCAGCTCATTCAGGTATGCCTTCTTCCTCTTCTTTACTCTGGTCTCCTCTATGGGTAGTAGAGTTGTATGTCACCTTATACACAGATCCAAAACCACCTTCCCTAATCTTGTTTGCTGCATCGAAGTTGTTTGTGACCGCTTTAATTTTTCGTAAGGTGAATACTCTGGTTTTCAGATCTAATCCTCTTACTTATGTTCAAGATACAAGGCCAATAGTCAATACTCCGTTATTTTGATTTTGATATTCTGCAATATCTAAGAGCGTTCATATATTGATTTGATTTTTAAGAAACATGTTATATGTACGTATATTGAATTATCGATATGGTATTCTTCTGAATTTAAGTGCATTCACACATTCTGCTGATTTTGAAAATTATGAATAATTTTGCATTATAATTTGTATAATATTGCATTGAAAAACAAAAACATCTTGAGGAAAAAAAGCCCAAAACCAATACAACTTAAATTTGATCTTCTTTTTCTGGATTGGGATAATGCAAAGGTAAAGATCCAATCACCGAGCTATATTTTACGCATCTTATTTGGTTGTTGGTGTGGGGAAAGAGATGAAATCATTTTTTAATTTTGGGTAGGAGAAACTTTATTATAATTAGAAACAGGTGCGGCAACAAACAAATAGTCATTGATTAAATAACTTGGACAAAGTTGTGTCCATAATATTTTTACAACT